CTTTCTTTTCGAAGCAAACCACATTTTCATTCTAAAATGAAAGGTCTGAAGCAAAGCAGGTTGAAATTGATGTGAGAAATGATGGAATCTTCATTCGATTTTACTTTAGGGATATTTGGTCTGATTTAGAAAAATTATTATTTTAATAACGGTTTCAGTTACAACGAATTGGAGTACGCCATTCGATAGAGCTCGTCAAGTTGCATCAGGAACAGTCTTTTGACTAATTGTAGATTCATCTATTAATGATCACCCAGGTGATCAGAAAGGTTAACCGTTTTAAAGAAGAGAAAGCGTTCCACAAGTGGCAGAATGCGTTCTTCACTGTTCCATTTCGAAACGACCAAGAACACCTTCTTAGAATGATAGAATACGTTCTAGTTCGTTTCATTTGAGAACGGTTTCCATTTGTTGTGGAACGTTTTCTTTTCTTAAAAAAAGAGCTTCAGTTCTTTTGGAACGCATTCTTTACCGTTCTTTTTTAGTAATATTTTTCACTGGGTTGGCTTATGATAATTTTTCTGCATTTACTCTGTGTTTTATTCATTTATTTAATATTCATGAAATAAAAGATCAATATTTTTTTATCACTTCACTAAATAATTTCTTTAATTGAGTCTTTCTGTCAATAGATAAATTATTTATAACAATAATTGTTTATCCAGTCGTTTTTGTTGTACTCATCATAGTGTGAATATTATGTTTTTCTGAAGGCGAAATAAAACACTTCTATTCACATCTGAACTAAACTTTGCTCCTGGAGTTTGTTGTGTACGATAAGAGTCAAATATTTACTGAATCTCATTACTAAAAAAAACGTTCTACTTTATCTCTTGATTCAGTGGACAGCATGATACTTTATAAACACACATTCTGCATAATCTAGTCCAACGGGAACAGATTAACGATGACAACAAACAGTCATCTATATATTACTGTTGTTCGATTTAATTTTATTAGCAGTTGATTGACGAATGAGAAACATTGATGTGTGAATCATTAGCAGAAATAAAGAATTTAACATAATAGACGAACTTGGCATTTAATTTCTTCCATAATGAACAAAAATCGAATCTTTTTTGCTAACATTTTTATTATAATAGATGAGTGATGAAGAATGGATAACAGTGGGAAGAAAAGAGAAAAGAAAAAGCTCAAAATCATCGTCAAAGAAAGCTGAGTCATCATCAACACCACCACCGCCACCACCATCATCATTATCAGTAACTTTAGTGACATCGACACCAAAAACAATCACAACCGAAACCACTCAATGCGAATTTACAAACAATGTATTATGAAATACGACAAGAAATTGGTGAAAATGAAAAAAAGATGTCTGACTGCTCAAATATGAAATTGCTCAACTATTTAATTCGTCGAAACGATAGTTTATCTGAAAAACAAAGAATTTTATTACAACAGCCACAACAGTTTGATTCATTACAATTAATATTTAAAAAGATTGACGATATGGAACAACATTTAAGAAAGTTACGGATATCGAAAATGAAAGAATTACATATCTGGCCTGGAAATCGAACACAAATCGAACAAGCAGAATTTAAAAATCAACTAATAGTAAAATATGCCTTGGTCGAAGAAAACGATCAGTAAACGGTCGTATACGATACAAATACGGCCCGTTTTACGCAGAGACGGCGCGAAGTAATAAAAGTATAGGGGGGTTACTTGAAAACGGGAGGTTTTTTTTCAAAAACTGGAGGTTTTTTTCAAAAACGGGAGGTTTTTTTTCAAAAACGAGAGGTTTTTTCAAAAATTGAAACAAAAATTTCCAAAGTTGGAGGGGGAAACCCCCCCCCCACCC